AAACTGAAATTGTATTTTTAAGAAAATTATTTTTTGTTTTCTTCTTCAGTGACTTAATATCTTAAGTATAGATACATTTTAATGGTCCTGGAGTGGACTTTTGTATAATATCATCTGCAAATAAAGAGTTACAGTGATCCTTCCCCCAAATTGTAATACCTGATTTTCCTGTATGGACTCTTACTGGCATAGCTAATTAATTATCTTGATGGCGCTGGTGAGGCGGCAGCCTGTAGTGTGCAGCTGTATGTATGTCTGTAGTGTTTTTAGCGCTTTTATTGTGTTTTTATTATTAGCGATTGTGTTTTTTTTAGTCTTGAGTAGTGGATTAATTGTTGATATGGACTTGACATCTGAAAAACCCATCTGGGTAGAGGACCACAGACAATAGGCACCTCTTTTGGTATATACCCGACAGGAACTGTTTGACCTGGCACAATATTCAAAAATTGCGGTCATACACGATATCCCTGAGGAAATATTACTGAGGAGACACCAGGGAATTCAAGCTGGGGTGAAGAGAAATAAGAGGCACAGAGAGAGAGCATGGAGAGAGACTTTTAAACCATTTCTACCATCTATCACTATGGGAAATGTTCACTGTTTAACTAACAAGCTCAAGGAACTAGAGACTCTTGTCAGGAGCCAGAAAATGTATCGAGAGGTCAGCTGTCTGGTATGTCTGTTTGAGACGTGGTTGACAGACAGTATCCCTGATGTTTTGACCAGCTTTAGTGGCTTCTGGACGGTAAGAGCGGACAGGGACGCCGGATCGAGCAGTAAGCAGAAAGGAGGGGGGCTTATTCTGCTCGTTAATGACAAGTGTGTCTCTCTCTCTAAGACTTTGCCCACATTTAAGCAGTTTGTTGATTGTACAACAAGGGGAGATAAGATCTTGGATCTCTTGTATGCTAACGTGAAAGATGCATATAAATGCACTGCTCTGTCCCCTCTTGGTCGATCAGGCCATGACATGGTACATCTCTCTCCTTGCTACATTCCAGTTGTTAAGAGGTTGCCTGTCACCAAAAAACCTTTAAAATACTGGCCCCCGGGGAAAGATGAAGCCCTGAAGTACTGTTTTGAAACAACAGACTGGGACGTTTTCTGTGAGGTTTATGGGGATGACATTGATGGACTATCAGGATGCATTACCCATTATATTGATTTCTGTAATGATGATATCATGCCCTCCAGAAAAAGTCACTGTTTCCCAAATAATAAACCATGGGTAACTAGTAGTCTGAAGACCCTGCTCAATGAGAATAAAAAGGCTTTCAGGGAGGGGGACAGGGAACATTTTTTTAAAAATCAAAGAAAACTGAGGGTGAAGATTAAGGAGGGGAAGAATCATACAGGTACAAACTGCAGCAACATCTGCAGCAGAATGGAGTGAAGAGAGTCTGGGCTGGCATGAGGAAGATCACAGGTATGAGGCAGAAGTGGGGTTCACTGTTGGGTGGTGACCAAAACCTGGCTGACGATCTGAACAGGTTCTTTAACAGATTTGACAACCCCACATCACCCCAGTCTGCCCCATCCGGTCTGCTGCCAGGTGTTGTTGCCCCTTCTCACCATTTTACCAAGCGCCAACCTTCCAGTCTCTCTCGAGAAACCAACAAGGAAGTGACTAAAACTGCAATTCATCGACTGGCCGCTAGAGGCTGGTTCCAAAAGGGAGTCAGTCCCATAGACTCCCCATGTTAAAATGCCCAAATTTACAGCAGAAAAAAATTTGTTTACAGGCTGGTACAAAACGTGGTTTTGGTCTATATAGCTAATTTTGCCCTTAGAATTTTGTATAAACAATTTTTTTTGTATAACTCATCCGTTTAAATTATATTAAGCCTTAGAGTTCTGCATAATTAAGGGCGTGGCCACTTGAGTGACAGGTGGATTGTCTCTGCTGTCACCACCGTTGAGCTAGGTGGGTGTGGTTTCAGCAACCAGCTCCCGCCATTTTCAATTATCCGGGAGTGACGCGCGGTGACGCGCTGCCAAGATGGCGACGGCCCACTCCGCCCACTTTGAGCTTCAAAAACGCTCTTCAGAAACCTACGGGTGATGTCACGGACACTACGTCCATGTTTTTATACAGTCTATGCATTTTACCCATCTCCTCAGAGTCTTCTCTCCTTCCTCCCTTCTCCACCAGTAGTTCCACCCTTAATTCTTCAACCATCTCAGGTCAAGAGGGAACTGGACCGATTGAAGCCGGTCAAAGCAATGGGGCCGGACGGTATTAGCCCCAGACTGCTGAAGATCTGCTCTGCACAGTTGTGTGGTATTATCACATGCCTGTTTAATCTGAGCCTGCACTTACAGAAGGTCCCTGGACCGTGGAAAACATCTTGCCTGGTCCCTGTTCCCAAGAAGAGACACCCTACTGACCATGATTATAGACCCGTAGTGCTCACCTCACATATGCTGAAGATATTTGAGAGACAGGTCCTCTCTTACATCAAGGCTAGTGAGTCAACTTAAATGGATCCTCTACAGTTTGCATATCAGCCTTATATTGGTGTAGATGATGCTCTCATTTACATGTTACAGAGGACCCATGCACATCTGGACACTCATGCAACGCATCGTCATTTGGACTACTGTGGTACTGCTTTTTGACATTTCTGCAATAAATAATTCTTGTGATTACATGTGTATGTTACGTTTCTCTTATAGACAGCTGTATACTGAATTTATATAACTCTCCACAAATTTAATAAAAGTCGGGTCCTGTAACAAATATGTTTGCAACCTCCATCTAGGACAATGCTAGAATCTGCCTAAATGAATCTCCATAGATACTGCTGCATGATCGCTAATTACTATACTATTGTACCAGTATTCTTTTACATTAGACAGTAGTTCCATAGATAATATAAAATAATTCATTTGTGAGTGAGTTTTATGTTTAACAAGAATAGTCTCTTTTATTTGGGTTCAGCATTCTCTAAACTTCAATTAATCTTAGATCCTTCATATAACCAATTAATGTTTTTCTAGTTTGTATATGAGTTGTATAAATTTGGGTGGATCTGTCCAATATTGGGTCTTCCAGAAGGATCTTGAATAGTTTTCGTAACTTGAAATGGCAGTGCTCTTCGAATGAGGATAACTACGCCCCATGCATGAGAGCTAAAGGCTGCATGAAATACTCGGCCTGGCCATCTTTTACTCAAGCAATGGATATCTGATGCAATCAAATGTGATTGCAAAAAAACAAAAAAAAAAACAATTTTAGATTTGAGATATTTTATCCTATTCAATACTTGTTTCAGTTTGGCCAATTTTCTCATTCCCCGGACATTCCAACTTGTAATTTTGATATCAAGACTACCTTTTAGTTTTGTTTTCTCCATAAATTACTATCTTAGTATATTATCAAATATAAATAAAATGAAGGAAAGAAAGAAACAAATAATAATAATAATAAATAGAATGTAAAAGAACACCTCCCCCATCAGCTAAAATGTATTTGAATGTTTTGAACTCACTCCTACTGTACATCTCGATTGTCCGCTGTTGTCTACAGCTGATCAAATATTTCTATGACATGTTGGTTTAACTCTGCAGTTCACTCAACAGTAGATTCTACTTTGGCTGTAAGATGCTTTTGTAAAACTTTTCAGCTTCTTGCTGCGTTGAAATCTTGCCATTGTGTAGCACTCTCAGCTTGCAAGGGTTATGCTGGAATCCATGGAAAGTATTGGATTTTCCTTCTGCCCCAGTTCTCCAGATCATCCGTCTTTGATTCGAGGTAAGCGATTCGTTTGTTGGCCGAGTCGAGTGTAGCTTCTGCTTTTTCAAGTGTCTTTTCTGTATCGTGAATGCAGCCTTCAGCCTCCTCAATACGTGTTGCATTGGAAGAAACATCTCGTTTTACATCTGACACTTTGCTTTCCAACGCAGCCATTGAGTTCGCCATATCGGTCAGACAGGTGTCAATATTATCCAACTTTGTTCCGATCTCTGCTCGAAGCGATTTCAGTTCATTTAAAACTTCAGCTAAGCTATTCATGTGGTTAGCTTCCACTTCACTTGGTACACTGGACGAGGTTGTTTTTACGCTGGTCTTACACCCTCGAGTAAAGATGTCACACTGTTTAGTTACAGAAGGTTTTGACATATAAACGCCAATGTTGTGCTAAAAGATTGGCCTCGTATATTAAGGGTTTTTATATTAAACTGTGTACGGTTACTCTGAGTTTTTCCATTAAGCTGCCATCTTGGTCCTGGCTACGTGACTTGGGAACTGTTGCAATATGCTGATATCGATGTAAATAAACAAATTTAAACATTGCAATATTGATACTGTCTTAATACTAAGCATACAAAAATATTGCAAATAATCCAGCATCAGTAACTATCTGGCTGAAACTCCAAAAAATTAGGTGGTGGTATAACACTTAATGCTGGTTGCCACCTGTCATAAAATAAATAAAGAGGAAGATGATGGTAAAGTGTATATCCACTACTGTCACAAAATCAAGTCCAAGGAGATGACTTTTTTTTTGCATTGTGTAAAAAAGACAGATGTTAGATGTTAGTTCTTGTTGTACACTTTTGTATTGTTATGTCTCTCTATCCACCTCCTTACACTTATGTTTTGAGTGTAACTCTTTGGCAAAAAAAAAAAAAGAAGAGAAAACCCAAAATAAATGTTGAATGATGATGAATTTGACTGATAGCATTATTTATTTTTTCAAAAATGTCTATAGATACTGCGATAACATTGGTATTGTAAATTATTTTGTTCAAGATAATTATGTAGTGATCTGATATGATGACAGCCCTATCATAAACCGTCATTGTTAACCAGTTGCCACAAACACATCATCACTAACACTACCTACATGCAAATTCATCATCAGTAGCCCCTCAAGTCAGATGTGCAAGGGGTCTGTGATGTCTAGGATGTTGTATTTGAGTTTTAGATTTGATGTACTAAATATTGACTTTTGACGACTATAGTAAAGTGCAAAATGTAAAACAGGACTCACATTTTGTGGACTTTTTGTCTGCAGATCAGCAGAACAATTAATCCCACCATGGTGGCAATGAGGAAGAGTCCAGCACTGACCCCTTCGATGACCCCACTCAATGGCTCTGAACACACACAAATATGAACAATTAACAAGCACATCTTACCAATCGGCCTTTAATATGGTCAAGCCACGTGTAATACCTGCATCTGTCATGAAGGGCTTGGACAGGTATGTATCAGTATAGAGCGGAGAGAGAAACTCCTCATGATTCTCATCAAAAAGTTGTGTAAACGCTCGAACACTGAGTCTGAGAATCACAAGACAAACAGTTGAAAATATCACCAACAATTACCTGACTGCAAGCTCAAATATTAGTACAAAGGCTGCATTGTTCAAGACGTTTGTTTAACCTCCACATGTTTCTTAATAATGGCATGAATGCGGATCTGAGCACCCTATAATCATATGTGTTCAAGGGCTAAATGTGAGATTAAGGATAGGTTTAAACCTTTAAACTTCTGATACATTGGTTAAATGTTGGATACATTGGTCATGTAAGAACACCCTACCAGCAACAGACAGCACAGGTTATTGTCTGACCGTAGCATCAGATTCATCACCTGTATGCTGTCTTGGGTTTCAGTTGCCCATCACAGAAGATCGCCTGGTGTTGAGATGCATCAGTTGATGGTTTCTGATCACATCGTCCTCCAAGACTCTCCATGCCTGATCCCAGACAAATCTCAAACTCCTGCACTGTGTTCTGGCTCTCGTCACAGTGGCTGGGGAAGAAGCTGGTCTGATAAGCTTTGACCGAGCTGTTGGATCTGTAGTCCAGGTATGAGGGAAGAGGATGAAGCTGGTATGGCTGCTGGTGTTCACTGTCTGAATCCAACCAGAGAGAGGGATCATTGTATTACTTTGGTCATGTAAGGAGACAAGATTATCTGGCTTAGATATCTGTGCATAACATAAAAAAAGAGGAAAAATGTCTTCCAACCATCAGATTCAGTTACGATGATGGTGAAGAATTTCACAGCACCGTTGATATCACTGAACCAGCTGCAGTTGAACTGGAAGAATATGGTTGACTTGGTAACCTGAACTGTATTCTCATCGACGCGAGTTGAGGGCAGAGGTGGACCTGAGAAGACATGAACTATTCAGTAAACGTTACTGTCAGAAAGTTATCTGATGATTTACATCAAACACAAAGTCCTAACTCACGGTCTATCATTGTGACCACATTCTCCATCACTGCCTCACTAGTCATGCTGTCAGAGATGACTTTGACAGAGACAATGTACTGCTTATGAGGCTCCAGATCTTTGATCAGATAGACGGTGTTCTCTTTGACTGTGCGCTGTGAGTACACCATTCTCTGAGAGTCCTTTCTCAAGCACTCGATGGTGTACGAGTCAAAGTCAGCTTCGGGGGGACTCCAGGAACAGCAAATGGCTGTTGAGTTCTGAGGACGGCAGTGCAGACTCTGAACACGCTCCGGCTCTAAAGACAGGAAAAAACACACATTCCACTAGTACTAGTACTATACCTACAGATAATGCCATATGTTATTGTAGTTGAATGGTTTAATACTGTGCAATAGATCAGAAGTTCTCAACTCTGGTCCATGAGATCCACTTTGCTGTAGAGTTTGCTGAACTCTGACCCTAATCTAACACACCTGAACAAGCTAATCTAGGTCTTCAGGGTCTTTACTAGAAAGTAGCAGGTGAGTTTGATCAAGTTTAAAGCTAAACTTAGTAGGAAAGTGGCTCTCGAGGGCCAGAGTTGAGAACCACTGCAACAGACACTTGTCATCTTCATGCAAGTCTCTATAAACAGACAGATTGCTGTAAAACTACTAAACTATGATCTTGTCCAAACTGAGATGGTTCTGGTGACCAGTAGTCTCTCTGGTGTGGCTTTACTGGTTAAATGATTAAAAAGCCTGGTTTGGACATACTGTTTCCTGTAGGGACGACTGATAAACTGATTCTTATACATGTGTGTCTGGTGCTCCACTGACTTGTCCTGATGCTCCTGTAGACTGGAAAGCTGTAGGTAGTGTTGTTGGTTCCAGCACCGCTGACTGTACGCAGGCTGATGTTGTACTGACGGCCAGGGTACATGCCTTTCAGAATACGGTTTCCAGATGTGGGGCTGTGGTAGGGGTTGAACACAGACAGATGATCCCTGGGGCTCCACTGAAGGTCAAAGTCATCATAATCAGTGTTTTCTGGACTGCTCCAGGTGATCTCCAGTGAGGTGTTAGTGATTTCTCCAAAGGAGAATGAGACTGGTGGCCTAGGGTCTACAATAAATCAGAGAAATTAAGGGAAACAGTCCAACGATTAAAATCAGTACTGCAATTAAGTACTGATTCTAAAGTTACATTGAAGGAAACTGTGACCCATCTTAAGGTCTTTTGAGATCTATTCAACACATCAAATTCATGTTGTCATGTATTATTTTGTATGATTTACAGGACGCACTTACCCGTCCTGCCGGTAGTAGTTGCCCTGTTGGTCAGATCTCCACTGTGTGTAAGGACGACAGCCTGGTAAAGTCGTCCAGACACCAGCCTTTGAAACGTGTAACTTCTGCTCTCCGGGCCCAAGCTCTGCTCTGCTTTTTGAGTCCCATCAGAGTTGTAGATCAGGAGGGTGTAGCTGCTCACTTCAGCCCCGGCCTGTTTCCAGCTCAACCACAGACTCTCAGAGCTTCTTCTACTGTCGGCACGCAAGAATGTCACTGCTGCAGGAACTACAGAAAACACAAGGTATTGTTTAAAGTCTTGGCATTTATTGCAATATTTGTTCACTTTGTTCATTTTAAACTGTGATGAATATAATGATTGTGTTTGCTGTTAAACTGCTGCCTGACATTGAACTGTATCATAACTACAATCAAAAATCTACATTTTGGGTACTGGCAAATTGGTGTGTGTTGTTCACCTGTCCGGGCCCAGATGGATGTGTCATTGGTCTGATCTCCACTGCGGGTCAGAACAACCACCTTGTACAACGACCCAGGTTGAAGGTTCTGGAAAGAACAGTCCTGCATGTTCACCATTCCCGTTTTCTGATCATGCAAGCTTTCATCTCTAGTATACAGAAAAACATCAAATCCATCAAACGCCCCGTCTGGCAGATCCCAGCGGAACGACAGGCTTGTGGTTGTGTTGCTTAAGATGGACAGGTTATTAACAGTCGCTGGACCTAAAACAAACACATTTTCAAACACTGTAACAGGCCAATTCATCTGCTGTATTACCCCATGTTAAAACTGAAAAAAGGCAATCTACACACTGGTTCTGCCCTCAGTAATGACATCTTTGCTGCTGATTCCTCCGCTGATGGTTTGCATCACAATGCAATATTTTTTTCCTGGAGTGAGCTGTCTGAAGTTATGCTGGCTGGCTTCTGCAGTTTGAGAGCTATTAGACACCAGAGTTCCTCTGTCATCCAGCAGCTGCAGCCGATAGCTGTCATACACCCCTCGCCCCGCCTGCCATGACACCAGCAGACTAGACGTGCTGCGCTGGTTCTCCACCTGTAGAGCAGTCACGGAGGAGGGAACTGCAGAGGAAATTAGTAATAGAGCAACATGCACAGCTGTTAGCCAATCATAGCAGTGGGTGTTTACTTCCGAGTCTACAATCCGCCAAACAGAGCGTTCCAATGAGGGGGGTTAAAAACATGACAGAAAATAGCCTATTACTTCTATATTATGAAGTTTTTTTATGTAAAAAATCTTGATAACATTATAAGTGGACCTCAGAGAACAGTAAAAAATAATTTAAAAAAGGCAGTTCATGACCCCTTTAAACAATATTTCAATATTTATATTAACAGAATAATTCAAAACACAGTCCTACATTTAGTGCAGTACACTGGTTTTATCATGATGTTGTGGAGCATGTGTGTTTAAAGCCTTAAAAATAAAACACCAATGCATCATCTTGACCTGATGATTTCTTTTATAAAGCCTCAGACAACAATATGACAAACACAGTGGAAAAACACCTCACATAGTTATAAGTGTAAGTGTTACTTTACCTGTTCGTCCTGTTGCTGTGCTGTTATTGATCAGAGATCCGCTGATTGATGTAACGGTTATCATGTACTGTTTTCCTGGCAATAGACCCTGGAAACTGATCTCATTCACATGTTTAGGGACTGATTTCTCCTCTGCCTGACCGCCCGTCAGGGACAGTGACACAGTGTAGTGGTCCACATCACCCTGTCCAGGCGTCCAGTTCACTCTAAGACTGCTGCTCTGACCGGCATTACTGATATGAATGTTCTTCACTTTACTGGGAACTGAAATATGTCGAAAATAGCACAACCTTTAAGACTTTGCAAGATAACTACAATAAAAATCAAATTTTTTCAACTTTTAAACCACCATATTTCTCAGATGTCCACATGCAACAGTGAGATGTACCTGTTCTGCCTTTGATAAACTGCACACTGAGGTTTGGTCCGAAAGATGCATATAAATGCACTGCTCTGTCCCCTCTTGGTCGATCAGGCCATGACATGGTACATCTCTCTCCTTGCTACATTCCAGTTGTTAAGAGGTTGCCTGTCACCAAAAAACCTTTAAAATACTGGCCCCCGGGGAAAGATGAAGCCCTGAAGTACTGTTTTGAAACAACAGACTGGGACGTTTTCTGTGAGGTTTATGGGGATGACATTGATGGACTATCAGGATGCATTACCCATTATATTGATTTCTGTAATGATGATATCATGCCCTCCAGAAAAAGTCACTGTTTCCCAAATAATAAACCATGGGTAACTAGTAGTCTGAAGACCCTGCTCAATGAGAATAAAAAGGCTTTCAGGGAGGGGGACAGGGAACATTTTTTTAAAAATCAAAGAAAACTGAGGGTGAAGATTAAGGAGGGGAAGAATCATACAGGTACAAACTGCAGCAACATCTGCAGCAGAATGGAGTGAAGAGAGTCTGGGCTGGCATGAGGAAGATCACAGGTATGAGGCAGAAGTGGGGTTCACTGTTGGGTGGTGACCAAAACCTGGCTGACGATCTGAACAGGTTCTTTAACAGATTTGACAACCCCACATCACCCCAGTCTGCCCCATCCGGTCTGCTGCCAGGTGTTGTTGCCCCTTCTCACCATTTTACCAAGCGCCAACCTTCCAGTCTCTCTCGAGAAACCAACAAGGAAGTGACTAAAACTGCAATTCATCGACTGGCCGCTAGAGGCTGGTTCCAAAAGGGAGTCAGTCCCATAGACTCCCCATGTTAAAATGCCCAAATTTACAGCAGAAAAAAATTTGTTTACAGGCTGGTACAAAACGTGGTTTTGGTCTATATAGCTAATTTTGCCCTTAGAATTTTGTATAAACAATTTTTTTTGTATAACTCATCCGTTTAAATTATATTAAGCCTTAGAGTTCTGCATAATTAAGGGCGTGGCCACTTGAGTGACAGGTGGATTGTCTCTGCTGTCACCACCGTTGAGCTAGGTGGGTGTGGTTTCAGCAACCAGCTCCCGCCATTTTCAATTATCCGGGAGTGACGCGCGGTGACGCGCTGCCAAGATGGCGACGGCCCACTCCGCCCACTTTGAGCTTCAAAAACGCTCTTCAGAAACCTACGGGTGATGTCACGGACACTACGTCCATGTTTTTATACAGTCTATGCATTTTACCCATCTCCTCAGAGTCTTCTCTCCTTCCTCCCTTCTCCACCAGTAGTTCCACCCTTAATTCTTCAACCATCTCAGGTCAAGAGGGAACTGGACCGATTGAAGCCGGTCAAAGCAATGGGGCCGGACGGTATTAGCCCCAGACTGCTGAAGATCTGCTCTGCACAGTTGTGTGGTATTATCACATGCCTGTTTAATCTGAGCCTGCACTTACAGAAGGTCCCTGGACCGTGGAAAACATCTTGCCTGGTCCCTGTTCCCAAGAAGAGACACCCTACTGACCATGATTATAGACCCGTAGTGCTCACCTCACATATGCTGAAGATATTTGAGAGACAGGTCCTCTCTTACATCAAGGCTAGTGAGTCAACTTAAATGGATCCTCTACAGTTTGCATATCAGCCTTATATTGGTGTAGATGATGCTCTCATTTACATGTTACAGAGGACCCATGCACATCTGGACACTCATGCAACGCATCGTCATTTGGACTACTGTGGTACTGCTTTTTGACATTTCTGCAATAAATAATTCTTGTGATTACATGTGTATGTTACGTTTCTCTTATAGACAGCTGTATACTGAATTTATATAACTCTCCACAAATTTAATAAAAGTCGGGTCCTGTAACAAATATGTTTGCAACCTCCATCTAGGACAATGCTAGAATCTGCCTAAATGAATCTCCATAGATACTGCTGCATGATCGCTAATTACTATACTATTGTACCAGTATTCTTTTACATTAGACAGTAGTTCCATAGATAATATAAAATAATTCATTTGTGAGTGAGTTTTATGTTTAACAAGAATAGTCTCTTTTATTTGGGTTCAGCATTCTCTAAACTTCAATTAATCTTAGATCCTTCATATAACCAATTAATGTTTTTCTAGTTTGTATATGAGTTGTATAAATTTGGGTGGATCTGTCCAATATTGGGTCTTCCAGAAGGATCTTGAATAGTTTTCGTAACTTGAAATGGCAGTGCTCTTCGAATGAGGATAACTACGCCCCATGCATGAGAGCTAAAGGCTGCATGAAATACTTGGCCTGGCCATCTTTTACTCAAGCAATGGATATCTGATGCAATCAAATGTGATTGCAAAAAAACAAAAAAAAAAACAATTTTAGATTTGAGATATTTTATCCTATTCAATACTTGTTTCAGTTTGGCCAATTTTCTCATTCCCCGGACATTCCAACTTGTAATTTTGATATCAAGACTACCTTTTAGTTTTGTTTTCTCCATAAATTACTATCTTAGTATATTATCAAATATAAATAAAATGAAGGAAAGAAAGAAACAAATAATAATAATAATAAATAGAATGTAAAAGAACACCTCCCCCATCAGCTAAAATGTATTTGAATGTTTTGAACTCACTCCTACTGTACATCTCGATTGTCCGCTGTTGTCTACAGCTGATCAAATATTTCTATGACATGTTGGTTTAACTCTGCAGTTCACTCAACAGTAGATTCTACTTTGGCTGTAAGATGCTTTTGTAAAACTTTTCAGCTTCTTGCTGCGTTGAAATCTTGCCATTGTGTAGCACTCTCAGCTTGCAAGGGTTATGCTGGAATCCATGGAAAGTATTGGATTTTCCTTCTGCCCCAGTTCTCCAGATCATCCGTCTTTGATTCGAGGTAAGCGATTCGTTTGTTGGCCGAGTCGAGTGTAGCTTCTGCTTTTTCAAGTGTCTTTTCTGTATCGTGAATGCAGCCTTCAGCCTCCTCAATACGTGTTGCATTGGAAGAAACATCTCGTTTTACATCTGACACTTTGCTTTCCAACGCAGCCATTGAGTTCGCCATATCGGTCAGACAGGTGTCAATATTATCCAACTTTGTTCCGATCTCTGCTCGAAGCGATTTCAGTTCATTTAAAACTTCAGCTAAGCTATTCATGTGGTTAGCTTCCACTTCACTTGGTACACTGGACGAGGTTGTTTTTACGCTGGTCTTACACCCTCGAGTAAAGATGTCACACTGTTTAGTTACAGAAGGTTTTGACATATAAACGCCAATGTTGTGCTAAAAGATTGGCCTCGTATATTAAGGGTTTTTATATTAAACTGTGTACGGTTACTCTGAGTTTTTCCATTAAGCTGCCATCTTGGTCCTGGCTACGTGACTTGGGAACTGTTGCAATATGCTGATATCGATGTAAATAAACAAATTTAAACATTGCAATATTGATACTGTCTTAATACTAAGCATACAAAAATATTGCAAATAATCCAGCATCAGTAACTATCTGGCTGAAACTCCAAAAAATTAGGTGGTGGTATAACACTTAATGCTGGTTGCCACCTGTCATAAAATAAATAAAGAGGAAGATGATGGTAAAGTGTATATCCACTACTGTCACAAAATCAAGTCCAAGGAGATGACTTTTTTTTTGCATTGTGTAAAAAAGACAGATGTTAGATGTTAGTTCTTGTTGTACACTTTTGTATTGTTATGTCTCTCTATCCACCTCCTTACACTTATGTTTTGAGTGTAACTCTTTGGCAAAAAAAAAAAAAGAAGAGAAAACCCAAAATAAATGTTGAATGATGATGAATTTGACTGATAGCATTATTTATTTTTTCAAAAATGTCTATAGATACTGCGATAACATTGGTATTGTAAATTATTTTGTTCAAGATAATTATGTAGTGATCTGATATGATGACAGCCCTATCATAAACCGTCATTGTTAACCAGTTGCCACAAACACATCATCACTAACACTACCTACATGCAAATTCATCATCAGTAGCCCCTCAAGTCAGATGTGCAAGGGGTCTGTGATGTCTAGGATGTTGTATTTGAGTTTTAGATTTGATGTACTAAATATTGACTTTTGACGACTATAGTAAAGTGCAAAATGTAAAACAGGACTCACATTTTGTGGACTTTTTGTCTGCAGATCAGCAGAACAATTAATCCCACCATGGTGGCAATGAGGAAGAGTCCAGCACTGACCCCTTCGATGACCCCACTCAATGGCTCTGAACACACACAAATATGAACAATTAACAAGCACATCTTACCAATCGGCCTTTAATATGGTCAAGCCACGTGTAATACCTGCATCTGTCATGAAGGGCTTGGACAGGTATGTATCAGTATAGAGCGGAGAGAGAAACTCCTCATGATTCTCATCAAAAAGTTGTGTAAACGCTCGAACACTGAGTCTGAGAATCACAAGACAAACAGTTGAAAATATCACCAACAATTACCTGACTGCAAGCTCAAATATTAGTACAAAGGCTGCATTGTTCAAGACGTTTGTTTAACCTCCACATGTTTCTTAATAATGGCATGAATGCGGATCTGAGCACCCTATAATCATATGTGTTCAAGGGCTAAATGTGAGATTAAGGATAGGTTTAAACCTTTAAACTTCTGATACATTGGTTAAATGTTGGATACATTGGTCATGTAAGAACACCCTACCAGCAACAGACAGCACAGGTTATTGTCTGACCGTAGCATCAGATTCATCACCTGTATGCTGTCTTGGGTTTCAGTTGCCCATCACAGAAGATCGCCTGGTGTTGAGATGCATCAGTTGATGGTTTCTGATCACATCGTCCTCCAAGACTCTCCATGCCTGATCCCAGACAAATCTCAAACTCCTGCACTGTGTTCTGGCTCTCGTCACAGTGGCTGGGGAAGAAGCTGGTCTGATAAGCTTTGACCGAGCTGTTGGATCTGTAGTCCAGGTATGAGGGAAGAGGATGAAGCTGGTATGGCTGCTGGTGTTCACTGTCTGAATCCAACCAGAGAGAGGGATCATTGTATTACTTTGGTCATGTAAGGAGACAAGATTATCTGGCTTAGATATCTGTGCATAACATAAAAAAAGAGGAAAAATGTCTTCCAACCATCAGATTCAGTTACGATGATGGTGAAGAATTTCACAGCACCGTTGATATCACTGAACCAGCTGCAGTTGAACTGGAAGAATATGGTTGACTTGGTAACCTGAACTGTATTCTCATCGACGCGAGTTGAGGGCAGAGGTGGACCTGAGAAGACATGAACTATTCAGTAAACGTTACTGTCAGAAAGTTATCTGATGATTTACATCAAACACAAAGTCCTAACTCACGGTCTATCATTGTGACCACATTCTCCATCACTGCCTCACTAGTCATGCTGTCAGAGATGACTTTGACAGAGACAATGTACTGCTTATGAGGCTCCAGATCTTTGATCAGATAGACGGTGTTCTCTTTGACTGTGCGCTGTGAGTACACCATTCTCTGAGAGTCCTTTCTCAAGCACTCGATGGTGTACGAGTCAAAGTCAGCTTCGGGGGGACTCCAGGAACAGCAAATGGCTGTTGAGTTCTGAGGACGGCAGTGCAGACTCTGAACACGCTCCGGCTCTAAAGACAGGAAAAAACACACATTCCACTAGTACTAGTACTATACCTACAGATAATGCCATATGTTATTGTAGTTGAATGGTTTAATACTGTGCAATAGATCAGAAGTTCTCAACTCTGGTCCATGAGATCCACTTTGCTGTAGAGTTTGCTGAACTCTGACCCTAATCTAACACACCTGAACAAGCTAATCTAGGTCTTCAGGGTCTTTACTAGAAAGTAGCAGGTGAGTTTGATCAAGTTTAAAGCTAAACTTAGTAGGAAAGTGGCTCTCGAGGGCCAGAGTTGAGAACCACTGCAACAGACACTTGTCATCTTCATGCAAGTCTCTATAAACAGACAGATTGCTGTAAAACTACTAAACTATGATCTTGTCCAAACTGAGATGGTTCTGGTGACCAGTAGTCTCTCTGGTGTGGCTTTACTGGTTAAATGATTAAAAAGCCTGGTTTGGACATACTGTTTCCTGTAGGGACGACTGATAAACTGATTCTTATACATGTGTGTCTGGTGCTCCACTGACTTGTCCTGATGCTCCTGTAGACTGGAAAGCTGTAGGTAGTGTTGTTGGTTCCAGCACCGCTGACTGTACGCAGGCTGATGTTGTACTGACGGCCAGGGTACATGCCTTTCAGAATACGGTTTCCAGATGTGGGGCTGTGGTAGGGGTTGAACACAGACAGATGATCCCTGGGGCTCCACTGAAGGTCAAAGTCATCATAATCAGTGTTTTCTGGACTGCTCCAGGTGATCTCCAGTGAGGTGTTAGTGATTTCTCCAAAGGAGAATGAGACTGGTGGCCTAGGGTCTACAATAAATCAGAGAAATTAAGGGAAACAGTCCAACGATTAAAATCAGTACTGCAATTAAGTACTGATTCTAAAGTTACATTGAAGGAAACTGTGACCCATCTTAAGGTCTTTTGAGATCTATTCAACACATCAAATTCATGTTGTCATGTATTATTTTGTATGATTTACAGGACGCACTTACCCGTCCTGCCGGTAGTAGTTGCCCTGTTGGTCAGATCTCCACTGTGTGTAAGGACGACAGCCTGGTAAAGTCGTCCAGACACCAGCCTTTGAAACGTGTAACTTCTGCTCTCCGGGCCCAAGCTCTGCTCTGCTTTTTGAGTCCCATCAGAGTTGTAGATCAGGAGGGTGTAGCTGCTCACTTCAGCCCCGGCCTGTTTCCAGCTCAACCACAGACTCTCAGAGCTTCTTCTACTGTCGGCACGCAAGAATGTCACTGCTGCAGGAACTACAGAAAACACAAGGTATTGTTTAAAGTCTTGGCATTTATTGCAATATTTGTTCACTTTGTTCATTTTAAACTGTGATGAATATAATGATTGTGTTTGCTGTTAAACTGCTGCCTGACATTGAACTGTATCATAACTACAATCAAAAATCTACATTTTGGGTACTGGCAAATTGGTGTGTGTTGTTCACCTGTCCGGGCCCAGATGGATGTGTCATTGGTCTGATCTCCACTGCGGGTCAGAACAACCACCTTGTACAACGACCCAGGTTGAAGGTTCTGGAAAGAACAGTCCTGCATGTTCACCATTCCCGTTTTCTGATCATGCAAGCTTTCATCTCTAGTATACAGAAAAACATCAAATCCATCAAACGCCCCGTCTGGCAGATCCCAGCGGAACGACAGGCTTGTGGTTGTGTTGCTTAAGATGGACAGGTTATTAACAGTCGCTGGACCTAAAACAAACACATTTTCAAACACTGTAACAGGCCAATTCATCTGCTGTATTACCCCATGTTAAAACTGAAAAAAGGCAATCTACACACTGGTTCTGCCCTCAGTAATGACATCTTTGCTGCTGATTCCTCCGCTGATGGTTTGCATCACAATGCAATATTTTTTTCCTGGAGTGAGCTGTCTGAAGTTATGCTGGCTGGCTTCTGCAGTTTGAGAGCTATTAGACACCAGAGTTCCTCTGTCATCCAGCAGCTGCAGCCGATAGCTGTCATACACCCCTCGCCCCGCCTGCCATGACACCAGCAGACTAGACGTGCTGCGCTGGTTCTCCACCTGTAGAGCAGTCACGGAGGAGGGAACTGCAGAGGAAATTAGTAATAGAGCAACATGCACAGCTGTTAGCCAATCATAGCAGTGGGTGTTTACTTCCGAGTCTACAATCCGCCAAACAGAGCGTTCCAATGAGGGGGGTTAAAAACATGACAGAAAATAGCCTATTACTTCTATATTATGAAGTTTTTTTATGTAAAAAATCTTGATAACATTATAAGTGGACCTCAGAGAACAGTAAAAAATAATTTAAAAAAGGCAGTTCATGACCCCTTTAAACAATATTTCAATATTTATATTAACAGAATAATTCAAAACACAGTCCTACATTTAGTGCAGTACACTGGTTTTATCATGATGTTGTGGAGCATGTGTGTTTAAAGCCTTAAAAATAAAACACCAATGCATCATCTTGACCTGATGATTTCTTTTATAAAGCCTCAGACAACAATATGACAAACACAGTGGAAAAACACCTCACATAGTTATAAGTGTAAGTGTTACTTTACCTGTTCGTCCTGTTGCTGTGCTGTTATTGATCAGAGATCCGCTGATTGATGTAACGGTTATCATGTACTGTTTTCCTGGCAATAGACCCTGGAAACTGATCTCATTCACATGTTTAGGGACTGATTTCTCCTCTGCCTGACCGCCCGTCAGGGACAGTGACACAGTGTAGTGGTCCACATCACCCTGTCCAGGCGTCCAGTTCACTCTAAGACTGCTGCTCTGACCGGCATTACTGATATGAATGTTCTTCACTTTACTGGGAACTGAAATATGTCGAAAATAGCACAACCTTTAAGACTTTGCAAGATAACTACAATAAAAATCAAATTTTTTCAACTTTTAAACCACCATATTTCTCAGATGTCCACATGCAACAGTGAGATGTACCTGTTCTGCCTTTGATAAACTGCACACTGAGGTTTGGTCCACTAAAGGTGGACACCACAATTTTGTAGAGTCTTCCAGGAGTGAGTGAAGAGAGCAGGTATCTGTTGGTGCTGCTGGTCAGTGTGATCGGTGGAAACACCTTCATGTCATTAAAGAGCAGCTGAACCTCATAATGATCCACATCTCCGGGAGCAGAAACCCACATCACCAGCAGATCCTCTGTGCCGCTGTCAGCTAGCCTCAGGTTCTGCACTCCTGCTGGCACTGAGAGGAGAACATAATAATAATAGCAAACTACCGTACAGAGCTACAGAACTGCGGTGAAGTAAACTACAGTCCTACATACCTACAGGAAACTAAATTAAGGATGATATAATTACATTAAACTACAAAGCCACATAAGCTAAAATTAAACTACATTCACATAAATACTGTAAGCTATACAGACCCAAATAACTAAACCAAAATACAGAATTACAGTAAAGTAAAAATACTATGGTTTAGTTTACTGTAGAACTGTGGTAAGCAACAGAATTACAGTTAACTAACCTACAGAGTTACATAACTACATAAAACTAAAAGATGTTACAGTGCTATTACAGTGCTACAAAATGATAGTAAAGAAATCTACAGAGTTAAAGAAATGTGGCAAACTACAAAACAACCGAAAACTACAGAACAGAAAGAGTGAAAGAACTACAGCAAATTAACAGAGCAACGGAAATCTGAACTACAGGGCAACAGAAGTACATTAAACTATAAAGCCATAGAACAACAGCAAACTAAATCAACAAGCTATACAAATGTAGCAGCTACAGAACTACAGTAAAATGAACTACAGAGCTATCAAAGTAACCCAGCACAGACATACTCACATGTCCTTCCATAAGTTGAGACACTAGACTCATATCTCCCGCTCCATGTGCTGACAATCACAGTGTAGAGTCTGCCTGGTACCAGCCCACTGAACACACATTCGTTCTGAGTCTTGGGGACCGTCTTGTTCTGGTGGAACATGTTGTTGTGCTTGATGGAGACATGATAGTAGTCAAAGTCTCCAGCTGCGTGCCGCCAGTACACCTTTAGATGGTTGTCACGAGCCATGTGTGTGGCTGTAGGGTTCAACACTCTGGAAGGTTCTAGAGTAGAGAACCATAGAATAATGTGAAAACCAGCTGCAAACAATCACTGCATACACAGCAGTATCACCTTCTCCATTACAGTAACAGATACTGGCGAACAAACTGCTGTTGAGTGCTCTTACGTGTGCGCTCCTGAACCACGGTGTGGTTTTCATACTCTCCACTGCGGGTGCTGATGGAGATGTTGTAGAGACGTCCAGACACCAGAGACTTAAAAACACACTCTGTACTGAACTTAGACACAGTGAGGGTGTGAAGGGTTCTCTCCTGATCTCTCAGAGTGACGGAGTAACTGTCCACGTCTCCTTCAGCTGCTCTCCAGGACACACTCAGGAAGTCCATGCGCCCGTTGTTGCTCACCGTCACGTCTCTCACTGCGGCTGGAACTGATCAACACACGACATGTGCCTGTCATCACCTCTGCAAACCTTAACTGCTGTCAAAATAAAACACAGAGCTGCGCACAGCACACTGTTTAAAGGAGACATATTATGCCCCTTTTTACAATATGTAATTCTCCTCTGAGGCTGGGACTCTAAACAGTGTTCTGTGCTCGTCTGTGCAGCCAAAGATAGAACAGTTAGCATGTTTTGCTCAAACTTTCACCATGGCATTAGAGCTGGTACACCATTGTCGCTTGCGAAAACACAATAACGGCACCGTGTGTGGAAATTTACAGATTAAGGGGCGGTAATATTATAATGATATCCCTTTGCCACGTCACCAAGGGAGCGAAATCTGTCGCACTCGTTTTCTCAGATGCTTGCAGAAAAAGGCTTCCCAAAACAAAGTTACTGGGTTAATCTTTTTCACATTTCCTTGGTTGGTAGATGCACCGGGGACTGGATTATAGCATTTAAAACCTGGAAAAGTCAGATTTTCATGATATGTCATCTTTAATAAAGAAAAATAGAATCATGATTGATGGTAGTGATCTATTTGTTTGTTTGATTGTTAATCACTGCATATAAATAAATATTGTTTGGCGAAGGGAAAGGGAAGCAAACAGAAAATGTGGAAGGTTTCATATGCTCCTCATATTTATGTCAAGTCATCTTTATTTTTATGATAACAATAGAGACTGTTTCAAAGCAGCTGTTCGTGCACATTATGGATCACATATATTTTTTGCAGTTCATTATTTATAATTATAACCATAATTATATATACATCTACATATAAATATACATATTATACAGTGGCAAGAATAAGTTTGTGAACACTATGAAAATATCTGACTTTCTGTATCCATCTGATCTTCGTCTAAGTCACAATTAAAAACAAACATAATCTGACTAAACTAATAATAAATAGTTGTATTTTCAAAACTGTATTAAAGAAATTTGGTGATCATTGACAGAGCAGGCTGGAAGAAGTAAAGGAAACTGTGTTACGACTTCTCCAAAATATAAATGGAGTCAATTAAGGAGATGAGACTCGAAGTGTGCATCGCACAGGTGAGCTTAAATAAAGAAACCACTGCTGCCAAAAAAGTATTGCTTGTTTTATGTTTGCCCAAGACAAATGCTGCTTTGCTCCGTCAGCTAAATCAACTAAAGAATGGCTGAAAAAGAAGAAAATGTGCATTTTCCCAAGTCCTGGCCTTACGCCAAATGAGATGCTGTGGCAAATCCTAAAGAGAGCTGTGCTATCAAGACAACCCAGAGATACTGATACACTGAAATAGATTTGTGGGGAGGGAAGGCCCAAAACTGGTCAAAAGTCTTATAAGCAGCTACAGAAAATGTTGAAATTTTTTAATATAAACTATATTGTGAATAATTTAGTATCAGTGTCTAAATTAATGATGAGCGACTCTGAAGACAAGCTGCTTGTTACTATGTTAACACCAAAAAAATGGCGAGTTAAAGCATGATTGTTCACTCAGAACAGAACAACATCCTCCCTCCACAACAACATTCCCTGCAGGAAGTCGCACAAATGACCTTGACATATTCAAGGCTTCCTGAAAATTCCAGGAGCATTCCTGCAACTCCAGATAAGAGTGTGTGTGAAGTCCAGCGTCATCCTTAAAGAACACAGAAGAAAATCTGAAGAAATGATTCTGATTAAACAGTTTACACAGGGACCACTGCATGTTTTTTAACAGCATGTTAATCTTATAAGCACAGCCTTAAGAATTTTTTTCAAGGAAAAATAAAAATACTGTACAAAGTTCTGAAGACACTTAAGTTCAAACAGCTGATAAAAGTAATTGACAAGTAATCAATTAACGTATTTGAAGCGAAAAGCTGGATGTTTTTAATAAACAAATCCATCAAGACGTTATTAACTTCAAACCATTGCTAAAATACAAGTCCATAGTCCCTAATAACGCTTCCTCCAGTGAAAAAGTGTATTGAATCAGGAGAGAAATCTGCACAGATCAAGCACCGTTTACAAGCCAAAACAGTTCAAAACAAATCAGCTCTAAACAAATATGTTGGTGGATTTTGATGTGAGAGACAACAGCAGATGGACTTTTTCACATGAGGAAGCGTTATTATGGAATATGGACTCGTATTTTAGCCGGAGGCAGCGGTTTGAAGTTTAAAATGATGGATTTTTTTCTTACAAACATGCAGCTTTTGGCTTCTCAAGCCGTTAACTAATGAGTGGTGTGGATTACTTGTGGATTATTGTGATGTTTTAATCAGCTGTTTGGACGACGGCACCCATTCACTGCAGAGCATCCATTGATGAGCAAATGATGGAATGCTACATTTCTCCAAAAATGATGAATAAACAAACTCATCCTAATCTTGGATGGCCCGAGGATGAGGACATTTTTTGGCATGCCAGCTTCACTCTCATCTGTTACTCTTATTTAATAAATACCCTGTATGTATTATAACATGCACCTCATGTTCTGTTTTTGGTCTATTACCTGTGCGCCCATCAGCCACCGTCTGGCGTGAGAGGTCGCCCCTGTGCACTGTGGTCACCACTGTCCTGTACAGAGCGCCGGATCTCAGGCCCTGGAAGTAGTAGGAGGTGACATTGGGCATCACACTTTCATTCTTCATGACCACGCTGTCGTGGATGAGGAGCACGCAGTACAGATCCACCGCACCGGCCGCCCCGTCCCAGAGCACCTGCAGAGTGTCTGTGCTGCCCTGATTACTGACCCGCAGCTGGGTGACCTGCGCAGGGACTGACCACGCACACAAGATTATTCATAAATACATATTATAGGACATAGTTTTTAAGTAAAGTTAATTAACACTCTAGTCATTCCAGCAGCTCCACCATCTCAGCAGCACATCACTGGACATCTGAATGACTCACTGGTTCTTCCTGTGACGAGGGCTGAACTACTCAGATCTCCACTATTGGTCGTCACGGTGATCGTATAGGTGTGTCCAGGTATCAGGTTATTAAAGTTGCATTCCTGCGCATCATGGGCTAATGCCCGCGTATCCACAGTCGTGTCTTCATCCTTCAGCAGGACGGTGTAGTTGTCCCACTCGCCGACAGGACGGCTCCATACAGCACTCAGCGAGGTCTCTGTACTGTGACGGACATTCAGCCTCTGAACGGACCGGGGAGCTGATGGACAGGTGCAGAAAAACAGAGAACTGTGTTTATATTTCACAACTGACCCTGCCTCTTGTGTCCCCTGTCCCTGGTCTTATTGTGCACAAACCAGAGGTCTTCAGTCCTGCTCCTGGAGACCCACTGTCCTACAGAGCTCAGCTCCAACCCTAATCAAACACACCTGAAGCAGCTAAACCAGCTCTTCGGGATCACTTAAAAATCACCAGCAGCTGTGCTGAAGCAGGCTGGACAGTGAGTCTCATTTGAACTTGACATGAATACAAAGTGCACTGTTTAAAAATGTGCTTAAGTGTGTTAAGAATCATAGTCATGTAAGTGTTTCTCGTTACATTAAGTACACTTAAGTGGCCTTTCATTGTTAATATCATTTTATCTGCAAGTACAGTGTTTAAAAAAACTCTGAAGTACAGTAAAAGTGCACATGCAATACAATTTAAGTGCACTTCTTTTTCACTAGAGCAGGCACTTTGTGTTTTGTGAAGGCCGCTTCATGTTGGTTTCTGTTTTACTGTTGCAAGTTTCACGGCAGTAGTTGAGTTGATCAGTAACACACCTAGTCTCCCGTGGCAGCCTGCGGTTGAGCTCAGATATCCGCTCTCCACACTCACAGCAGCTCTGTACAGGCGGCCTGGAATCAGAGTCCAGTTAGTGAAGCTGAACTCCACAAGATTCCTTTCAACCGTCCGGTTCATCAGCACAGAAGAGCCATTGAACAGCAGGATACGGTAGAAATCCCAGTCGCCATCAGGAGAAGACCAGGACAAGCGCAGGGTCTTCTCATTAAGGGCCTCCAGCTTGAGATGAGCCGCCCATCCTGGTGCTGATGAGCAACAGACACAACAAGAACTCATAAAGACACATCTCAGGTTATTTGTATCGATGAACCATCGGTTGACAAGGCAATGAATCATCTGTTATTCAAATACATATATGGGCCATTCTACAGAATTGGTGAAAACTGCTGTCCCACAACCCAAAAACACTTTTAAAAAGCATTTAAGTACTCATATCTTAGATGTTTCCTAAGATCCTTCTATTATCTATTGAAACACAATAAGCGTAATATTTATTAAATCATTATTTATTGGGTCATTTCAATTGGGAGAACCCTAACCCCTAAATTTAAACTTATGAAAATGATATTGAAATAATTTTTTTATTTTATTCCATTTTTGTTTTTAAAAATATATTTTTGATTTTTTTTTTTAAAAGTGAAGTTAAAAAAAATATTTATTTTATATTTTCCTTTTAAATTATGAAATTTTATGTAAAAGAAATGTGTCCCGTGTTTTCATGTCACTACCGAAACGGTGCATGTTTTTGTCCATTGGCTGAGACTGATTTTAACTACAACCCTACATTTATGATAAGGAATTATTCCCGTGTGTCCCTCTCATAGCTACATGGTGAGTAGATAGGTCCCATCATTTTGAGATAAATGTGTTCAAAAGTCTGAAAAATCTGTGTGTAACTTTAAGTAACGTCACTACCGAACACCTTTTTTTCTGCAATTAAGCACACTTTTTTGGGTGTTATTCCAAATCATTTAGTTTTTATATGTGTAAAACTGTTCAGAACTGCTAGGTAGCCATGTGCTGATTAGCATTTTTGAGCTAGGGTTCAAAAGTATCTAAAATGGTCACTACTGAAACAGTCACGAACGAAACGTCATCATTGTTTCGGTAGTGACAAAAGGGAACACATAATCTTTTATTTTGGGGGAAATAAACAAAATTTTAGTATAGTTATGCAAATTTGTAGTATTTTAGTATTGTTTAGTAGTGTTTTAGTATGTGAGTTAAAATTCTGTAATGTCATGTGGTCGCTACCAGAACATCACAGTCACTACCAAAAATATGCAGTCACGAATGAAACATGGAATGTTTTGTCAAAAATAAAGTATACTGAATTATCAACTAAGATGATATGATAGTGTTTGGCTCAATGTATATTCAAACTAATGAATCCTTAACTTTGAAATCAGTATGATCAACTTTTTGCCTTTTACAAAGAAAGATTGGGTTCAAAATACCACAAATCTCATAAATGACATTGAAATATTGTTAAAATTGTAATTGTTATTGATTTACCTCTGAAAATGTTTTAATAAAATAGCAAAAATTATATTTGCAAGCTAGATGTAAACAAAATCTTAATATGTCAATATAACCCTTCGTATTAAATTATATATTACTGTGTTTTGCAGTAGTGACAAATTTAAGGAGAGGCAAAATATTCTAAAACTTTCTGAAAATTCAAAATGAGAATTAACTGCACAATTACTAGAAATGTGTACCTTGGATATTGTACAATTTGCATACATACAACATTTGAGAAAAAAGACACATTGTTTTCAAGATATTTCCAACTCTGACTTTCAACCAATTCTGTAGAATGGCCCATATATGTCATTCTGTATCTATTTATTTTATAATCGTAACTGGTTGTAAATGGTTTCTAGTTAAATTAAGCTAATGATAATGATCATTAGCTGATCTTACCAGTCGCTACACTCTGAGAAAAAAAAATTGTAAAAACTGTCACTGGGGTGGTATCCTTTCAAAAGGTACTAATACTGTATGCTCTCAATGTCATGCAGAAATGTTAATTAATGCGTTCATGACCTCAAGGTTAGATTATTGTAATGCTTTATTGGGTGGTTGTTCTGCACGCTTAATAAACAAACTCCAGCTGGTCCAAAATGCAGCAGCTAGAGTTCTTACTAGAAGCAGGAAGTATGACCATATTAGCCCGGTTCTGTCAACACTGCACTGGCTCC